CAGACACTCAGCAAAGATTACAGCCTCTCTCTGTGTTTCCAAGTCGCCGTCAATTCTAACAGGTTTGGTTTCTCAGCCCTCCACGTAGGAGTCCGTGGTGCTGTAGGATAAAGCACTAGATGGTTCAAACCCACCAGTCACTCCTCAGAAACCCTGTACAGGGTTGCTATGAGTCGGAACCGACTGGACAGCACTTAACAACAACATGAAGGAGTTCTGGTATGCTGCTGTTACCAGATCAAGCTACAAAAGACTAGGAAGTCATAAAATAGAGTATAAAAGAGGTTTATTAGAGAAAGAATACCTGCAAAGTAGCCTCATATGGATGTGAAAGCTGGACAGTGAATAAGGAAGATCGTAGAAGAATTGATATGTTGGAGGAGAATACTAAAAGTGCCATGGGCTGCCGAAAGAACCAATAGATTCGTTTTGGAAGAAGTGCAGCCAGAGTGCTCCTTAGAGGCCAAAATGGCCAAACTTCGTCTCCCATACTTTGGACATGTTGTCAGGAGGGAACAGTCGCTAGAGAAGGATATCATGTTTGGTAAGATGGAGGGTCGTCGGAGAAAAAGAGGAAGACCTCTAACGAGATGGATTGACCAGGTGGCAGCATTGATGGACTCAAGTGTGGCAACGGTAATGAGATTGGCCCAGGATTGGACATTGTTTCCTTCTGCTGTGCATAAGGTCGCTATGAGTCGGTGCTAACTCAATGACACCTGACAACAACCACCTGCAGAGAAGGTGTGCCAAGACAGCAGCATCTCTCTGAGCTCACAGCCTGACTTGTGTTTATAGGGAGACATCCTTTCCTTCAAAAAGGAGGCGGGCTTTCCTGTTTTCATAGTTGCACTCTCCTGTGTCACTTCCTTGTCTCCCTTTTCCCACGCTGCCCATGCATCTGGTGTTCATGACGAGTCTGAGATTTCCAGATGGATTCTGTTAGTTAGAAAGGCATCCGGGATGCTTGACATGACCGGTTTTGTGCCTGCACTGAAAACTGGTTAAGGGGGAGGTTAATGTGTTGTTGTTGTTGTTGTTGTTGTTGTTGTTAGTGCCATCCAGTTGGTACTGACTCATAGCAACTCTCTGCACAACAGAACAAAACACTGCGCAGTCTGGGCCAACCTCACAATTGTTAATATGCCCAAGCCTCTTGCTGCTGCCACTGTGTTAATCCATCTAGTTGGGAGGTGTGGTCTTCCTCTTTTTCTCTGACCCTCCACTTTACCAAACATGATACCCTTTTCCAGTGACTGGTCCCTGCTGGTGATATGTCCGAAGTATAAGAGACAAAGTCTGGCCATCCTGGCTTCTAAGGAGCACTCTGACTTGTACTTGTTACAAGTCATGGCAGTCCATGATACTTTCAATATTCTCCTCCAACACCATAGCTCAAAAGCATCAATTCTTCTATGAGCTTCCTTATTCACTATCCAGCTTTCACATGCATATGAGGTTATTGAAAATACCACGGCTTGGGTCAGAAGCACCTTAGTCCTCAAGCTGACAACTTTGCTCTTCAACACTTTGAAAAGGTCTTGTGTAGCAGATTTGTCTAATGCAATACGTCCTTTGATTTCTTGACTGCTGCTTCCATGAGTATTGATGGTTGATCTAAGAAGAACAAAGTCCTTGACAAAGTCAATCTTTTCCCTATTGTTAAGAATGTTGTTTATTGGTCCAGTGGTGAGGATTTTTGTTTTCTTTACATTGAGATACAACCCAAACAAGGTTGTATCAGCTGCATATCGCAGGTTGTTAATGAGTTTTCCTCCAATCCTGATGCCATGTTCTTCTCCATATAATCCAGCTTCTTTGATTTTGTGCTTAGCATACAGACTGAATAACTATGGTGAAAGATACAAGCCTGGCGCCTTTCTTGATTTTAAACCATCCAGTGTTCTCTTTTTCTGTTTGAACAACTACCTCTTGTTCTATGTACAGGTTAATGTGTAGCTGACGGTTAACAGCCCCCATTGTGTAGTTGAATAGGGAGAGAGGGCTCACAAGCCCCACTGGGTTCCAGATACATAAGGAGTTCATTTTTTTCCATTTTGTCTCATTTGTATCCTGACTGCCTGATAAGGAGATAGATTCTATCTCTTGTCTACATCCTGCTCTTCTGTTCTTTGTATTTGGAGGTTTGTTTTATGGTTTTATTGACATTATTCCAATGCCGCTTTTCTGCTTCCCCAGTGATTTTCCTTGGTAGCTTTCCTCCTGTCCCCTTACCCCAGCAGTGCTGTAGGATAAACACCAACTGCTAACTGCAAGGTCAACGGTTCAAACCCACCAGTCGCTCCTCTGAAACCATATACAGGGTCACTATGAGTCTGAACTGACTCGAACCACTCAACAACAACATTGAAGATGGAGCTGGAAAGTAAATGGGGACACAGTGAGCCCCAATTTGTAGGAAGCTGTGACATTTAAAGAGAAAGTACCCCATAGGCTAGTTTTCGGACAATGTCCATTGTATGGGCAGGCAGTGTGTCTGCTTTGTTCAGTGTAGGACCACAGGCTCACAGCGGAATCTTAGTAACTCATGACTGGATGGATGCATATTGAGCTATTTTCCTCAAGCTGCCATAACAAAATACCACCATGTGGGGGGCTTTAAGGAACAGAAATGCATTATTTCCCAGTTTTAGAGGATGTTGTTGTTGTGTGCCTTTGAGTTGATTCTGACCCATAGAGACCCTATGAGTCAGAGTAGAACTGCCCCTATAACATTTCTAAGACGGTAAATCTTTACAGAAGCAGACTGCACATGTTTCTCCCATGGAGCAGCTGGTAGGTTCGATCTCCCTACCTTTCAGGTAGCTACTGAGTGCTTAACCACTGTGCCAGCAGGGTTCCTATCTCTAGAGGATGGGAGCCTGAATTCAGGGCCAGGCTCTAGGGGAAGCGTCTTCCTTGTCCCTTGCAACATCAAATAGTCCCGGGTATTTCCTGACTTGTAGCTGTGTCTTCCCCAGGCCTCTCCCTCTGTGTGTGTTGCTCTGTCTGGTCTCCTCTTGTAGGAGGACATTGTGGCGCTGTCAAAGAATATTAAACACACCATGGAATGCCCAAAGAATGAACAAATCTGTCTTGGAAGAAGTACAGCCAGAATATTCCTTAAAAGCCAGACAGATGGCAAGACTTTGGACGGCTTATTAGGAGGGCCCAGATCCTGGAGAAGGCTATCGAGTTTGGTAAAGTAGACAGAGGGTCAGTGGAGATGGATTGATACAGTAGCTGGAACAATGGGCTGAAGCACAGGAATGACGGTGAGGAGAGTGCAGGCCCCGTGGTATTTCATCCTGTTGTCCACAAGGCCACTATGAGTCGGAACCCATTCAACAGTACTGAACACCAATGAGGACCACATTCAGATTGGATTAGAACCTGCTCTACTCCACTATAACCTCATGTTAATGTAACTGATAACGTCTTCAAAAGACCCTATTTCCAAACAAAGTCACAATCACAGCTTACCAGGGGGGTTAGCTCTTCAACATATCCTTTAGAGAGACACCATTCAAAAGATGACATCTGGATGGAGGTAGAGATGGAGGCATGGAGAGGGGGAGTGGCTGAGGATTCTAGATTCATGGACTAAGAAGAGAGGGACTAAGAGCTGGTGGCCAGGAGCAGACTTGCAGAATGTGCCCTTTGGAGATGTAAATTATTTTATATGTCTGAGTGGTTTTTTTGTTTGTTTGTTTGTTTTTAAAAAGCTAAAGTAGATAGAGAGAAATACTGTTAACTGATGGTACATGGACAGGATTATAATCATTGTAATGAAACAAGGTGTACGATTTGTTGAATGTAAAACTGATGATATGCCCTGTAATCTTTCACTCAATCCACAATAAAAACCTTAAATTAAAAAAAAATTTTTTTAAAGTTGACATCTTTTCTCTTTATTTGGGGTGATTTGAAGGCCTCCAGGAGGCAAGCTTCCCCAGGCTAGACTTCACAGTAAGGGGCAGACCGTCTGCAACCCCGGTGGAGCTCTGGTAGCCACAATCATAAGAGATGACTTCCAAGGAGGGAGATGTTACAGGGTGAACTCAACGTCTTCTGGAGTAGGGACATGAAACAGCCAGTGAGGATCATTCTGGGACAAGGAAAGGCTGCTTCCAAGAATGCTTCAGGCATGATGTGTTTTCTTCCCTTGTTTAATATGTATAATTTGTCATCTGGCAAAGGAGCCCAGAGAGCTTGGCATAATTTAGAAACAATGGACAATGGCCACAATTCACGAGGCAGAATTGTCTCCTGCAAGAAAGGAGAGAGCCATGTATTTATTGCATGCTGGATGCAGGCACTTTCTCAGAAGATTTCCTTGTGGTGGGTGCTGGGGCCAGATAGCTAAATGCCAGTGTCTCGGTCACCAGAGATTCTGTTTGAGAAACGGGGATACAATGTTTACACTGCCCTCATTAGAGCAGCGGCTGCAGAAACGCATCAGTTTCACAAGGCTAACGGTTGTAGCGCTACAGGGAAAGCAAGGTTGGTGGTTCAAACTCACCATCCACTCCTCAGAAACCCTATACAGGATCGCTGTGAGTCGGAACTGACTAGAGAGCAGTTAACAACATCAATAGGGACCAGCCCTTGGGGAAGTGAGGGGAAGGGGGGAGTATCCTCTTGTCTCTTCTGGCCAATCCCAATTAAGCTCCAAGTGCACTGCCCCAAGGCCACGTGGCTCCTGTTGGGGGAGGGGAGGACTTCAGGATGAGCCCCCAAGACTCCTGAGAGGAGTGACCCCTCTATTCTGGTCCCTGATTGGGGTGATGGGGGAGACACTGAATGCAAGGACCTCCTTGGAGGTTCACCGGTAGAGGGAGGGGCAGCCCTTCCCACTCCCCTGAAATTTATGGGATTCCTTCCCCACACTGTTTACATATTAACTCATCTGGGACAGGCCAAGACAAACAGGCCAGGGCCAGAGGAGCAAGAGTACACACATCTGGGAGCTGTGGCCCCACATCACCCTCCCAACCACCATGGACAAGCCCTGGGCCCTGGGGATGGCTCTCCTCCTCTTCAGGACCTTCCTCATCCATGCTAAGCCCCTGTGAGTCTGAGGAACTGTGTGATTCCCTGCCTGTGACCCTGGGTGTCACTGCTGCCTCCCCACCTGAGTCCCTCCACACCCCGGTGTTTGTCTACCGGCAGATATATCCTGGTGACCCCCCGAGTCCTGCGAATCGGCAGCCCCGAAAACATCCATATCCAAGCCCACAGTGACTCCAGGCAGCCTCTCGCTGGACGCTTGGAGGTGAACATCACTTTGTGGGACTTCCCCCTGAAGAGCACCATGGTGGCTAAGAGACAGGTCGTTCTCTCACCTGGAAACCACTTTATGGACAAAGCTTCTGTGATGGTGGGTAACAGGGTGGGGGCTCACAAAGGGAGGCTCTGGGTCAGAAATAAGGGTGGTGGAAGGGACAGGTTCTGGGGACCTTCCCCACAGGGACACTTATGAGTAGGTGGGAGGCCTAAATATCTTTTTATGTCTTCTTTAAGAAATCAGAAGTCCCCTAAGACTGGTTGTCCCTGGCCCATATAGGGCCCATATAGTCCCTGGTGGCACTGGATTGCTGATCCCAAAGTTATTAACTCAAACCCACCAGCCACTCTGTGGTAAAAAGAGGAGGCTTTCTGCTCCCGTAAAGGCCTTGGAAGCCCTATGTAGGGTCGCTATGCATCAACGAAATGGCAGTGTTTGATTTGGTTTTAGTGTTATAGGGAATCTTTCAGTGGTGCAAACGTGAACATGCTCAGCTGTAACTGAGAGTTGGCAGTTCAAGTCCACCCAGAGGCTCCTAAGAAAAAAGACCTGGGGGTTTACTTTCAAATAATCGATCATTGACTACCTGGTGGAGTACAGTTTGACCCTGAGGTGCATGGGCTCTCCAGGAATCTGATTAACATACTGGAGCAAGTCGTGATGGTGCCCCCTGCTGGTAGACACATTACTTGGCAAACAGGTGGTGCTTTGGAGAGAAAGAAAGGTGCTCTTCCTCTGTTAGCTTCAGCCCATACCAGGATCGGAGGCTTGGGGAGCTGAGTGTGGATTGAGCTATCAGAACTTCCTGACATTATTGCTCCCAAACCAATCTGACCCAGAGCTCTGCCTTCAAGGAAGGGGACCCCAGCATGGTCTGAGGAATGTGAACATCTCTTCCCAGATTCCTGAGCACCTGGTATACCCTCCAAAATCAGGACTACAGTATGTCACCATCCGGGCAGAATGGGCACCCACCTCCGTCTCCTCGTTCATGGAGAAACATGTGCTGGTGGTCCCCCACGCTGGTTACATCTTCATCCAGACAGACAAGACCATCTACACCCCTGACCACTTAGGTACAGCCCCAGCATTGGACCTGGGGCAAGCACTACTGACTCCAATCCCTGACACAGACCCGTTCCTAAAGTCGTCTCCACCTCCCAAGGTCTTCTTCTGCCCAGACCTTGCATCTCTCACCCCTCCCCGGACTCTGACACCCTCCCTTCATGTATCCGCTGCCCAGTCTTTTTCCTCCTCCTCCAGTTCAGTACCGAGTATTCACTGTGGACCACAAGATGGATCCTGTGAGCCGTTCATTCACTCTGTATATCAAGGTGGTTTCTCCTGATGGGGAGGCAGAGGGTGGAGGCCAGATACTGGGATTATGTCCTGAGACACATACTGAAGCACTTAGGATCTGAACCACAAGGGCCCCCCAGAGAGTAGCCACCAGTCCCATGCCCCGTCCCCACAGAACCCAGAGGGAATCACTGTGCTCAGCCAGAGTCTGCTGGTCAAGGACGGCTTCTTCATGAACTCCTTCCACCTCCCAGAGCTTGTCAGGTGCCCTGCCCTTGCCCCTCCAGTCCCATCAGAGCACCTGGGGGTTGAGAGCCTCACAATGGGGTGGGGGCTGCCTTATCAGATTCTCTTCTAATTTGTGCTTCAGTTTTGGGACCTGGAACATTGAAGCCAGCTACGAGAGCGCACCCCAGCAGGTGTTTAAGGCAGCCTTTGAGGTGAAGGAGTACGGTGAGAAGGGTGTGGCCAGGAAAACAAGGTGGGACATAGAAGAAACAGAGCTAGGAATGGGAAGGAGGGTTCAAGAACTAAGCTGGACCACATGTCGCAGTTCCTATGGGTCATCAGAGTCACTGAGGAAGGATCAGGGCAGGGAGGGGGTGAGAGGAAGGGGGAAATTCTGAAGGTGACCACTGTCTTTACCCACACCCAGTGCTCCCATCTTTCGAGGTCCTGCTGACCCCAAACAAGACTTTCTTCTACCTCAATGATGCGGCTCTGGGGGTCGACATCCAGGCCCGGTGAGTCATCTGCTTATTCCTAGCCCTGCCAGAGGACTAGAGAACCAAGAAACTGAATAGGCAAAAGAAGGGGACCACCTTGGTAGCATTCAAAGTTGTAGAGTCACTTTCAGCCACCCCCGAGACATTCTAAAGCACCTACGTCTCCTCTTGAGGTGTTACAGCTCATCTCTTGAGGTCTGTGAGATGCTGCAGGCATCCTCTCTACCCACCAGTGTTGTATAAGTTGCATAATAACCTCATGAGATTGTTCAGACCCTCTCTGAGGTTCATGATGTTACACAGACCACTTTGTCAGTTTATTTTGTCCAGGCAATCTCTGCAGCTCTGTGAAACTGTAAATGTAACAACTTCTGTCTTACAAGATTTACAGACCATCTCCATGGGTCTATGAGGTTGTGTGGGTTATATCTGCTACTCTTTGAAGTTGTATAGACCATTCTTACAATTCTAAGATGCAGTACAAGCTATCTAGATGCCTGCTGAGGCTGTACTGACCACCTCTGACACCCTAAAGGTTATCAGACTTCGACATAGTTTCACATGGTTGCACAGAACACCTCTGCCATCTTGGGAAGCTACACAGGCCATATCGACAACCCATGAGGCTTAATGGGACATAGTTTCTACCCTCCAAGGATTTGAGGAATCTGCAATGAAACCTTCTAAGTTTTTCAGGGATCTCTCCTGCCTCTCAAAAATTTCCACAGCCCATGAGGTCATACAAGCGATCTCTGCAGCCACATGAGGTTGTGTGGATGCTTCAGGGAAGTGAGTTGGCCCTTCTTCTCCCAGGTATATATTCAACAAGCCAGTGGATGGACATGCTCTGGCCATCTTCGGGGTGACACTGGATTCCCGCCGGATCCCCATCCAAAGCTCCCTGCAGAGGGTGGAGGTGACCGAGTTCTGGTTCCTTCCTCACTTCCTTCCAACAGACCCTCTCCCTTTCCTAAAGAAACCATCTTCTCTTCTGCTCTCCTGTGCTAAGAACAGGTCTCTGATGGTCTGGGCCACGTCTCCCTCCAGAAAGACACTCTGATGGCCGCATTCCAAGGCCCAGAAGAGGACTTCATTGGGGCCTCAATCTTTGTCAACATCACTGTGTTCTCCACAGGTAACGCCCCCACCCAGGTCCCTGGCTAAAGTCTCAAGACACCTACATTATTTCCCAGCCATGACACCTGACCATGTGACCTTGACCTGCCGCCTAGCCTCAGTTTTCTCATCAGAAAAATGGGAAGAAAGACTGGCAGGAGCTGCAATTGTGTTATTGTCTTTTGCTACTTTCACCAAGATGTGACTCCCAGGCCACATCCTCACCACTCCTCCAGGAAATTAAGCTTCTTCGACAAGCCCCCCATGATCCTCCTATCTCCACAGGAGGTGAGATGGTCCAGACAGAGACCTCGGGAGTGAAGATTGTCCGGAGCCCATACAGCATCAAGTTCATCAAGACGCCCCAGTATTTCAAGCCAGGGATGCCGTTCCACTTTAGGGTCAGGGGCTGATCTGGGCTCACTTCACCCAGGGACTCAGGGCCTTCCCCCTAAAATAGACACTCAGAAAACAAAAACCCACACTGTACTCATCTGTTCCATCACAATTCATCTACCTGAGTGGTGGTGATGGTGTGCTGTGGAGTCGGTTCCAACTCATAGCGACCCTGCACAGGGTTTCTGAGGCTGTAAATCTTTACAGGAGCAGAAAGCCTGATCTTTCTCCCGTGGAACCGCTGGTAGTTTCGAACTGCTGACCGTGAGGTTAGCAGCCCGACTCATAACAACTATGCTCCCAGAGTTCCTTATCTGCCTGAGAGTTAAGTGTATATCATTCCCCCCAAACAGTCTGGAGACTTCCCCAAATTTTACCTGGGTCCCCTTGGGTTGAATAATGGCTCTGGAGTTTCTCTATAGAGGACTCAGGAGCCATAATCAGGTTGGAAGGTGGTGTTTGAGAATTTACCTTGCACAAGTGTGTTGTTTTAAATACATTCATTTGAGAGTAACTTTAAGGAACCCTGGTGGCACTGTAGGATAAGCACTGGACTGCTAACCACAGATCAGCAGTTCAGACCCAGCAGTCACTCCAAGGGAGAAAGATAAGGCTTTCTGCTCCCTAAAAATGTGCAGCCTCAGAAACCCTATACAAGATCACTGAGTCAGACTTGATTCACCGCCAATGCCTGTCAATGGGTTTTAAAGTCTCTCAAGGCAGAACCAACTTGTTGGCAGTGGATTTGGGTTTTGTTTTGTTTTGAAGACATCTGAGGGGCATTAGGAAGGTTAGAGCCATCTCTGGAGTCCAACCTTACTCCATGTTTTCCATAGCCCTTCATGTCTACCTGTTTCCCTTCTACCCCCAGTTTCTCCCTTAGAGAACCCCAAGATCTAGGGCCCCAATATGTGATTGTTGTTGGTTCTGAATCATAGCCACTCTGCAGAGGGTTTCCAAAGCTGCAAATCTGTTGCAGGAGCAGCGGGTGGGCTACAGCCACCCACCTTGTGTTTTGCAGGCCAGTGCTTATGACTATTTGCTTTAAAAAACAAAAAAACAAAAAAAACAATAACAACCAACAACCCTAAACAGCATCATTCACAGAGGGAACTTAGGGGATAAATATCCTGGTCTTTCATTCTTCTTTTTTAATGAATGGTATCCTGGTGTACAAGGCAGTCCTATTCAAATTGTACTCCCAGATCCCACCTCTCATGCCAGGCCACCCCCAGGCCTGCCCTTCATCTCACCCCAGATTCCATCTCAGGTCTTTGTCACAAACCCTGATGGGTCCCCAGCCTCCAGAGTCCTCGTCCGAAGCAAAGACAATAAAGTGTACACCTCAGCCAATGGGGTGGCTGCTCTGACCATCAACACAGAGGCAGATCTGAGTCAGCTCCCTATCCTGGTACCAATCTGATAAGGTAGGGATGGTGGGGTTGGGGGGGTGTGAGCTGGAAAGGTGGGGATTGTTTTGTCCATCACTCTCCTCAGGTAGAAACTGATGAGCCTCTCAGGCCAGAGGAGCAGGCATCAGCCAGGATGACAGCTCAGCCTTACTCAACTCAGAATGGGTCAGGGAATTTTCTGCATATAGAGGTAAAGACATTGGGCACAGAAGTTGGCAGCAGCATCTACCTGGACCTCAACACCAGGCATCAGAACTCCTCAACCAAGGATCAGATCACCCACTTCACACTCCTGGTGAGGGGGGTAGGACCAGGGTCTAGCCCAAGGAATTATTTCTCTAGAAAAACTGACTAGATGGGATGGAGAGATATGAGTAAATGTGTGAAGATGGGATTCATTTGGGGTGAGTTCAGACCAAGGGACGGAAGCAAAAGAACTGTGGGTCCTCCTGGTGAGCTGAGACAGTCTCAGGGAAGGACTGGTCCTACCATTCACATTTTAACCTCCTTTATCTCCAAGGTCCTGAGTAAGGGTCAGATCGTGCATGCCAAACATCAGCCAAAAACCCAGGGAGGTGTCTATACATCAGTCATTATTGATGTGACTCCAGAAATGATGCCCTCCTTCCGCATCCTGGCCTTTTATTTATTGCCCAAAGGAGCAAGTCAGGACCCTGAGTTGGTGGCTGACTCCATATGGATTGATGTGAATGACAAATGCATGGGGACGGTGAGACAAGGGTTTTGAAGTCATACATCATGGTCCTAAGGCTCCAGAGATGTTCTGTACAAGTTCAGAGGATCCCAGTCTGGGGGACAGGGAAGAGAAAGAGATGTGGCCTTAAGACCAGAAGATGAATAAAATGCAAATGAATGTGTAGAATTACCATTGGTCTGATGGAGTTCCCAGTTGCACCACAAGAATAGTTGTTGCTAAGTGATGTCGAGTCGGTTCTGACCCACAGGGACCCTTGTACAGGGTTTCCAAGGAGCAGATTGTGAGCTTGAACCACCGACTTTACAGTTCAAATGACTTTACAGTCCAGTGCATTAACCCACAATGCCACACTGGGACTCCACAAGAATAGTAGGGAGCATGAGTGAAATTGGGGCAGCTCTTGGGAGTCTATGGGCTTCTCTCCCTGACAGCTCTCTTTCTCTTGGCTCAGCTGAAGGTTGGTTTGAAGAATGAAGGCCTCTTCCATCAATTTGAACCCAACAGCAAGCTAGAACTGAAGGTGACAGGTGATGCAGAGGCCACAGTGGGACTCGTGGCTGTGGACAAAGCTGTCTATGTTTTGAACAGTAAACACAAGTTCACTCAGAAGAAGGTAAGAGCATATGGGCTTTGGGCCAAGAGGTTTACTGGGGATTCTAGCTGGAGTCTTGGCTTCTTCAAATGAACAACATCCATGGTTGTGAGGATTCAAGCAACTGGCAGGTGGTAAGAGCTCAGTAAAAGTGAGATGGTGTGAGAATTCTTATTGGAGCCAGCAATTGCAGTGCACTGTTGAGTCTTCCCTAGAGGCGTCATTCAGGTCCCAAGTCTAGATTCCTTTCTTGACTCCAGATCTGGGATGTGGTAGAGAAGCATGACATTGGCTGCACAGCAGGCAGTGGGAAAGACAGACTTGCTGTGTTCAAGGATGCTGGGTTGGATCTAAAGATCAGCACAGGGATGGATACACTGGCAAGCTCAGGTACAGACTGGGAGGGAGGGCAGGGATGAGGTGGTGGTGGTGGTTATGTGCCGTGGAGTCGGTTCCGACTCATAGTGACCCTGTACAGGGTTTCCAAGGCTGTAAATCTTTACGGGAGCAGAAAGCCTCATCTTTCTCCCATGGAACAGTGGATAGTTTCGAACTGCTGACCTTGCGGTTCGCAGCCCAATTCGTAACCACTACACTACCAATGCTCCTTTGGAATGATGTAGTGGTGCTTAATGGTTAGGAGTATGGGCTTTGTAGTCAAATGGCTGTAGGTTAAAATCTAGACTCTTCTGTTTACCACAGACCAGTCACATTCCCTTTCTGTGTCTCATTTTCTGTATCCTAAAATGAAAAAAAGTCCTAGTATGATAAAGCACTAGACTGCAAGGTCGGCGGTTCAAACTTACCAGCTGTTCCTTGGAAACCCTATACAGGGTCGTTATGAGTTGGAACCAACTCGATGGCACTTAACAACAACAACAAAATGAAAACAGTAGAACTAGCTCAACATGTGTTCATTAAGAGATCTGTTTGGCCGTGTGTATCAGATACAAATCAGCAAGCTTGGAGTCTATTTCTCACTTACTAACAATTTAAGGACCTGTGTTATTTCTAGCCTGTTATCTGTCACATTCCAAGACAATGTACCATGACTTCATGGCAGCTAGAAGAAAGGAGAAAGCACTTCTCTCAAATCTCATTTGCTAGAATTCAGTCACATGACCCCACCTAAGGAGGCTGAGAAATGTAGCCTTTATTCTGGGTGATCTATAAAAGATGGTAGTTTAATGGCCACAGAAGAGAGAGTAAAATAGATATTGGAAATAGCTAAGGGTATCTTCTTTTAGCTATAAATAATACTAATAACCATTTCTATTTACTACATGTTAGACCCTGTGCCAAGTACTTTTAGATGCATAACCTAATCGATAGGACTATAGTAGACCCATGTTAACACAACTAGAGAAAGGAAGCCCGGAGAAGTAAAGTGACTTGCTGAAGAGCAAACAACTCTCAAGTGGTGAATCTTGAATATAAGGAGATTGTGAGATGAAATTATGTGATGTATACAATGTATTGAGCATACAGTAAGCTCTCAATGTCATCAAAAATGTTAATAATGATCTTAGCAATTACCCTTTCAGTCTTCATTTTTCCCTCTGGCCCACAGATTGGCACTGCCCCAAGACCCTCCCTCCTAGCAGCCCCCGCCACCGCCGCTCTCTGAAGAGACTGGAAATGAAGAGGAATACAGGTCAGAGATGAAACTGGACATGTTCCTGGTTTCCCAACCTACTGCATCCATCAGGGTTTAGAACAGTACAATGAAACTGCTCCAGGTCTTCAAGCAGGAAAGGATTAAATAAAGGGAGTTTTCTGCTTTTAATGCCATTGTTGTTGCTAGATGCCACAGAATTGGTACTAACTCATGGGGACCTTCTGCACAACACAATGAAACACTGCCCAGTCCTGCACCAATTTCACAGTCATTGCTACATTTGAGCCCATTGCTGCTCCCACGGTGCCAATCCATCTCGTTGGGGGTCTTCTTTTTCTCTGACCCTCCACTTTACCAAGCATGATGTCCTTTTCCAGGGATTGTCCTTCCTGATATGTCCCAAGTATGAGAGACAAAGTCTAGCCATCCTGGCTGGCTTCTAAAGAGGATTTGAGCTGTACTTCTTCCAACACAGATTAGTTTAGCAGTCTGTGGTACTCTTAATCTTCTCTTCCAGCACAATAACTCAAATGCATCAATTTTTCTACGGTCTTTATTCATCGTCCAGCTTTCACATTCATATGAAGTTATTGAAAATACCATGTCTTAGGTCAGATGTACTTTAGTCCTCAAACTGGTATCTTTGTTTTTGAACACTTTAAAGAGGTCTTGTACAGCAGATTTGCTCAATGCACTATGTCATTTGATTTCTTGCCTACTGCTTCCATGACTCTGAAACTTGCTCTCCAGGGTAGAAATACTAAAGCAAATGGAAGAAATGAGGAGGTATAAGCCCATGAGACCATCACTCATCTTTCAGTTTGTCATACTGTGATGGCTTGCGTATTGCTGTGATTCTGGAAGCTATGACACCAGTACTTTAAATACCAGCAGGGTCACCCATGATGGGCAAGTTTCAGCTATGCTTCCAGGTGAAGACAGACTAGGAAGAGGAGAGACGCACTACTACCAAATATTTAGTCACTGAAAACCTCATGAATAGCAATGGAACACTGTCAGTACCAGAATACTTAATTTGAAACATGATGAGGAACATCAAAATATTGTCAGATGTAGTGCTGGAAGATGAACCCCTCAGGTTGGAAGGCACTCAAAATGCGACTAGGGAAGAGCTGCCTCAACTCAAAGCTAGAGTTGACCGTGATGACGTGAATGGAGTAAAGCTTTATAGACCTTCATTTGCTGATGGGGCAACAACTCAAAATGGAGAGAAACAGCTGTAAAAATCCATTAATAGTTGGAACATGGAATGCACGAAGTATGAATCTAGGAAAATTGAAGATGGTTAAAAATGGAATGGAAAACATAAGCTAAAATGGACTGGTATTGACCATTTTCAATCTGACAATCACATGATTTACTATGCCGGGAATGACAAATTGAAGAGGAATGGCATCACATTCATCATTACAACGAACATATCAAGATCTGTCTTAAAGTACAATGTTGTCTGTGATAGGATAATATCCATATGCTTACAAGGGAGACCAATTAATACCACTGTTATTCAACTTTGTGCACCAACCACTAAATCAAGTGAGGATGAAGTTGAAGAATTCTATGAACTTCTTCAGTCTTAAATTGATCAAACATGCAATCGAGATCTGTTGATAATTACTGGTGATTGGGATGCAAAGGTTGGAAACAAAGGAAGAATCAGTAGTTGGAAAATATGGCTTTGGTGATAGAAATTATGCTTTAGATTTCATGATAGACTTTTGTAAGATCAGTGATTTCTTCATGGCAAATACCTTTTTTAAACAGCATAAAAGATGACTACACATATGGACCTCACCAGATGGAATACACAGAAATCAAATAGACTACATCTGTGGAAAGAGATGGTGGAAAAGCTCCATATCATCAGCCAAAACAAGGCCAGGGGCAGAGTGTGGAACAGATCATCAATTGCTCATATGTAAATTCAGGCTGAAACTGAAGAAAAAATTTTAAAGTTCATGAGAGCCAAAATATTATCTTGAATATTTCCCACCTGAATTTAGAGATCATCTGAAGAACAGATTTGATGCATTAGACATGTAAAAATTGAAAGACCAGAAGAGTTGTGGGATGATTACAGAACGTTTGTAAACCTTGATTGGAATACCTAAAAGGGGTTCTAGAATTTGCCCAGTGAAATTGGCTTCTTGTCAAGCCTTAGGTCAAATCCTGAGCCCCATTTAGAACCTTCTGAGGTGGGACATGCCCACTTGAAAGGACATGCAGATGAATCTTGAGCGGATAGAGGAGCAGAAGACACTTCTTCAAAGAAAGACCGGCAAGAAAAAGAGAAAAAAGCAGACTGTTTGACTATTACAAAAACAAAAACACTGTTCACCTGGGAGCCATCAAGGGTAGCCATTAAAGCCCTTTGGGACAACCCCCCCCCCCACTTCCAAGACTGAAACTCAAAGGGAACACACAAGCAGCTTGTAAGCTCACTGGTGATCGCATTGGTCTACTTGTGAGTTGAAGTGGGGGAAAGGCAGTGATGAAGATATGGGCTGAGTTCGACCATGTTCCATAGACTCCTGTCGACCTTGAGATGAGAGAGAGAAGAGGAAAGGCTGGTTGGTCCGAAGTTTAGGGAGACTTGGGAACTCCTGAGCCCATGGACACTGACCTAGCCACGGAGGGCTAGAGCTGAGAGTGAAGCATCCAGCTGATATGAAGTTGGGGGAGGCATGCAAGAATACCCAAACTTGCAGATAGTGCCAATTTGACCTAGCTTGAATGACTTGATGATCAGAACGTGGCTAGAGAAAGATAAAGCAGTTTGATACAGGAAACAGGTGTAAATTGCTACAATTTGTTGAACTTGACCTTTGCTTATGGATGTAGTAGCTCAAAATACTGACCTAGAGAAAAGGAGTCTTCACATCAAGAATCAAGCTTATCCCCTCAGTACACAGGGTTGATAGGGACAACTTAGACACTGGCTACCTAAAATGGGGTGGGGGGGGGCTATAAAGGCACGAAGTGGCTTACTTACAAACTTTCAAGAGGGAGTTTAATTTCAGAGCAAAGGGGGTAATGTAGAATTTCTACTGAATAGTTTTCATCTTGTCTAGGTGGGTCTGGTGAAAGGAGATGAGGATAGGATTCTTTTGATTCAATAGAGAGTAATTATCATGACTAATTGCAATAGGCAAATCGGCTGCACAAGACATTTTTAAAGTATTGTCAGTTTGAGGACTAAGGTGTGCCTGACCCAAGCCATGGTATTTTAAATAACCTCATATGCATGTGAAAGTTGGACAATGAGTAAGGAAAACTATAGAAGAATTGATGCATGTGAGTTATGGTGTTAGAGGAGAATATTGAAAGTGCCATGGGCTACCAAAAGAACAAACGAAATTTGTGTTGTAAGTCAGAGTGCTCCTTAGAAGCCAGTACGGCCAGACTTTGTCTCTCACACTTCAGGCATACAATCAGAAGGGACCAGTCCCTGAAGAAGGATATTATGTTTGATAAAGTGGAGGGTCAGAGATAAAGAGGGAGACCCCTAATGAGATGGATTGACAGTGGCAGCATCAATGGGCTGAAACATAGCAATGATTGTGAGGGCGGCCCAGGACTAGACAGTGTTTTGTTGTTGTGCATGGGGTTGCTATGAGTCCGTCCCAACTCGATGGCACCACCAACAACAGCAACAACAAAGTCATCAGAAGAATGAAATCTCAGGAAACTGGCCAGTGTCTCTCATGATGCTGGTAGGCAGACAGTGAACCATAGAATTATGTCCCAGCATAAACACACATTGACTGAAGCCCACCTTTCAGCTATCACCACTGGGAAAATGGTCTTGTTTCTCTTCCACCTTCCAGTGGCACAATCTATATCCTGTCCAGAACCCTAGCAGACAGGGCTTCTGGGAAACGTAGTTTTTCAATGCCTAGCCTCTATGATAAGGGCTGCGATGGCTCAGTGGTAGAATTCTCACCTTGTATGCAGGAGACTTGTGACTTGATTTCTGAGTTATGCACCTCAAATACAGCTAACATCCATCTGTTGGGGGAAAACTTGCATGTTACTGTGCTGCTGAACACGTTTCAACTGGTTCCAGACTAGAACAGATTATAAAGAAAGGCTTGGAGATCGATCTACTTCCAAAAAATCAGCCACTGGAAACTATGAGTCACAAATAATCTATTCCTGCTGTGTATGGCTTCACCATGAGTGGTGAATGGACTTCATGACAACTAACAACCCCAAGAGATGAGTGCTGTTTGGTAGTAGACATCTAGCACCAGTGACTTCCAAGGTCAGGGTGTAGACAGAAAGCAGCAGCTCTGAACCTGAGGTTAGGGAGATGAGAGGCAGGCCTGGATACTGGTTGGATTCTGACCCTAGCTCTGCCACTTGTGATCTGTGTCCTCCTGAGCAAGTGAGTTCACCTCTATGGAAATGCAGTATCCTCATCATCACTTGAATTCAATGCGAGAATTCACAGAGAAGAGCCATTCAAGAGGCAAGGCACAGATCACAGCAGAACTGTGCCCCATAGGGTTTTTAGCGGCTGTTTTTTCTGAAATAGATCAAGTAGCCATGATTATGAGATTGTCACAGGACCAGGCAGTGTTTCGTTCTGTTGTGCGTAAGGTCACCATGAGTCAGTACTGACTCAATGACACCTAACGAAAAGAAGAAGATCACCAGGCCTTTCTTCTGAGGTCCCTGTGAGTAGACTCAAACTTCTAACCTTTTGCGTCTTTACTATTTGCCCCACCCAAGGACAGTCGTGGCTGAATAAAGGGAAAGTGTGGATGGTGTTAAGGTGGCTGGGTCCCGGCTTCCTTGAGGTCTGCCCAACCCCCTCCTTTCCCTCTCTAACTCTCTACAGTGAATGAGTTCAAGACAGAGCTGGAGAGAAGGTGCTGTGAGGCCGGGCTCCGGGAAAATCCAGTGGGACTGTCGTGTGCTGAGAGAACCAAGCATGTCCGCCATGGTCCAGTCTGCGTGGCCGCATTCCTGAGGTGCTGCCATCTGTCGGAGACCCAGACTCGGGAGGCCCTGGAGGAGGAACTGCTTCTGGGGACAAGTGAGGGTCTCACAGAAAGAGACTCAGGGTGGGAACTGCCACGGGGCCAATTCAGGGGTGATACGAGCCACAGGGAACTCATCCCACGGGGGTGGGAAGATCCCACTGAGAGTCTGTCGCGGTCCTGGGAGAGACGTGATGGAGTTCACGCAGGGGACCTTGGAATGCCCACACCTCCAACCCCCCTGCAGTGGATGAAGATGAGGACTTTGATGACATCTTCCTGGAAGACGTACCAATCAGGACCTTGTTTCCAGAGAGCTGGCTCTGGAGGAAGTTTTCTCTGCCAAAAAGTGACTCCGGGTAGGACGGTGGCCCATTCCTGCCAGCGCCTGGTCCCTGGCCCCTGGGCCTTTTGTCCTGATCATCAACCATGACCCTAGTGGTAACAATAACCCCTAAGGTTAGTCCCAAGAAAGAAGCCTCCTTGGATGGGAATAAAGATCCCAGTGGGCCACCCCAAATGATGACTCTCTAGTGATGGCCTTTCTAAGGGGGCCTATGGGAGAACAATGACCCCCAAGCCAGCGGCTCTGTCCAGACATCACAAACTCAGGCATGCCCTTCCCAATTCCAGAAGGCTCTCCCACCACACCATCTTTACCAACATTCCAGATTCCATCACCACATGGCAGTTTGTGGCCGTCAGTCTCAAGCCTAAACAAGGTGACCTCACAAGCCCTGTGTCCCTGGTCAGCCTGAGTCAGGTGGGCTCTGCTGTACCCCAATGTATTCTCCTGGTTCTAGGACTCTGTGTCTCGGACCCATTTGAGCTGACAGTTATGAAATCCTTCTTTGTGGACCTTAAGTTACCTTCCTCCGTGGTCAGGAATGAGCAGGTCCAGATCCAAGCTGTGCTGCACAATTTCAGAGACATCCAGGTCAGGGTGAGCCTTCCTCTCCTCTATCCTCCCCTCCCCATGTGTTTTATCACCCAGAAGACTCAGTGTGTTTTATGAAGGGGAGCATTCTATCAATGATTTCAACAGGTGAAGTGAGGGACCTTTTGAAAAGGCCTTTTCTCACGTAAACCTCCCAATAATTCCATCAGATGGGTGCTAGCTTTGTCCTTGGTTTAAAGAAGAGGACGCTGAGGCACAGAGAGACTAAAGGCTTGCCTGCAATTACACAGCAGAGGGGGTTGGACTCAAGTTGTCTGACACCAGGTTCTGTGCTCTCAGCCAGATGCTATAATGTCACCTACTCAGGCTCCTCAGGGCAGTGGTGGGGAGGGGGTTGTGACCCTAGGGCCCTGGGCCACCTCCATGCAGCAGAACCTCCTAACTGCCTACCCCGTTACAGGTCCGTGTGGAGCTTCCCTATAAAGAACCCTTGTGCAGCGCATCGAAGCCAAGAGCCCCGTATCGCCAGGTGGTGGTGGTACCTCCTGCTTCCTCTAAGATTGTGCATTTTGTGCTTCTCCCTCTGGAGTTAGGCAAAGTGGATGTGGAGGTCAGAGTTGTGGGCAACGGGTTCCTGGACCATGTGAAGAAGACGCTCTTGGTCCAGGTAATGGATGATGAAGACGCCTTGGTCCTCTGGGTCCTGGGCTGTGTGGGTAGGGTAGGGGCAGGTCACCCAGGCAACCAGATGGGAGTGAGGTTTTGGAAGAATGGATTTGAAATTTCAGTTGACTGGCTTAGGGGGTTATAAATTCCCCACCTCGGGGCTTTGGAGGCAGGCTTGAGTTCAAATCTTATTCCTGCTGTATGACCTGGGACTATTTACTTAACTTCTCGGAGCCCTCACTTCCTCATTTGCAGGATGGCAGAAATAATCCAACTTGTGAATAACCAGGGAGCTCTAATAATCACACACAATAAATATCTGTCTTATCAATAGTATGTTTACTTAACAAACACATGTTCAGCACTTACAATATGCCAGGCACGGCTCTAAGAACTTTAAGGATATTGTTGTTGTTATGTGCCGTGGAGTCGGTTTTGACTCATAGTGACCCTGAACAGGGTTTCCGAGACTGTAAAGCTTTACAGGAGCAGAAAGCTTCATCTTTCTCCCGTGGAACAGCTGGTAGTTTCGAACTGCTGACTTTGAGGTTCGCAGCCCAATTCATAACCACTATGCTACCAGAGTTCCTCAGCTCATCGAATTCTCAGAACAACCCTATGAGTTAAGCATTCTTATTATTCCCATTTTCAGAGGCACAGAAACACAAACCTGTTGTCTTGGAGTTGATTTCCATTCAAAGCGACCCTGCAGGACAGAATAGAATTGTCCCATGCAGTTTCCAAGGCTGCCATCTTTAAGGAAGCAGACTGACACATCATTCTCCCTCAGAGTGCAAAAGTCCACTGATCTTTTGAATAGCCACTGTGTACTTTCAGAGGCACAGAGAGGCTAAGTAATTTGACCAAGATCACACAGCTAGAAAGCACAAGAGTTGGGATTCTATCTCAGACTGACAATTGGGGTCCAGAGTCTATTGTTAGGGGCTAAGCAATGCTGCCTCTTTCTGTCATAATCATTGTCATCATTATTGTTGTTGTCATCTCATCCCACCCCACAGGCAGGGGGTCAGATACAGCGGATATTCCATAGCATCTTCCTGAACCCCCAAGGTTTGTGGAGTGCATGGAGGAGGTACATGGATTCCTGGGTCCATGTTTGGGAGGAAAGGGTTAGGCCAGGTGGGCATTCAGGGCTACTCGCTGGCTTTGTGCACCCCAACCTCCCTAGCCCCAGAGTCTGCTTGTCACAAAAGGTCATGCCTGCTCAGGTCACACGCAGACAGCGGTGGTGTCAAGTCAAGACATTTGGAACAAGGTGCCAGACACTCAGGCAGAAGTGTTTGTCAGCGTCCAAGGTGCCTAGGATGGAGCTGGTCTTGTGGGGATGGGGAGGTGGGAGTGAAGTGTGGAACTGACTATCCCAGGGCTTGCCTGGGCACAGGGGCAGGAGAGGCTGGAGATGCACCTGTGGGGTGATCAGGGAGCCATTCCCAAAGTGATTCCATCTGCCTACCTGACAGGTGACATCCTTGGAGAGACAATCCTGGGCAGTCTGATGCCCACAGAGACGCAGAAGCTGCTGAGGGTCCCGATGGGCTGCCCTGAGCAAACCCTGAGTTCCCTGGCACCTCTGATCATCCTGACCCACTACTTGGACACCACGGGCCAGTGGGGCAAAGTCGGAGTGGAGCTCAGGGACAAGGTGATGAAGAACATTGTCAGCGGTGAGAGCATAGTATTGGGGTGTGGTCCATGGTCCCCTCCTGGATGGGTGTCTGGGGTTGTCTCCGGGCCTCAGGGTGGTGGCTGGATATCCTCATGGGACCCCAAGACAATAACACCCCTGGGTTACACCAAACTGACACCTCTCCCAGGTTACAACTTGATGCCAACCACAGGTGACCCCCAAACAGTGTTACTACCCCTGACTACACCTAGGCAGCAATAACCCCAGGTTGCTCCTGACCCCTATTGCTTTTCCATACTGTAACATGAAACCAGCCACAAGTAACCCTAACATTAACCCCAGGTTACGCCTGAACCCTGACCACTATCTCACAACAAATCCCCTGGTTTACCCTCAAGAAGTATCTCCCCAGGTTATGTTTACCCCAAGGGTAGTATTACCCCCAAGTAAGCCTAGAAAACACGCAAGCAGAGATCCTTAGAATAATCTCAGGTGGTGCCTTCAGTGACCCCTGAACATGGACACTTCCCCAAGTTACAACAAACTCCCCAGGATACAACCAGAAATCGATGTCCCTGATGACCCCCGAATTAATCGGACACTGATCTTCTCTCCCAAGTGTCACTCAGACATCAACACTCCATCTGGTTCTCCTAATCATAACCTCCCAGGTGACATTGCAACCCTCAATGTTATACCTAGACAGTAAACTCCTAGTAACCTTCAGGTTATACTCAAGCAATAATCCTCAGAATAGTTTCAAAAATTGTCCCCCCAGATTACAGCCAGCAGAAACTTCCTCAAGTATACACACAGACACATTGACCCACCCTAGTTTGTTTTTGTTTTACCCTCCCAGCCCTGTAATCACCAAGAATATTTCTGTGAGTGTGAAAACTTTCTTTTGACTTTTTATGACAGTGGTCTCATACAATATTTGTCCTTCTGTGATAGATTAATTGCACTCACCATAATGTCCAATGTAGGTTTCGTCTACATTGTGAGATGTTTTGTGGATCTGTTCTTTAACATTGTGTAGTGTTTCATTGTGTGAATGTACCATAGTTGATTTATCCATTCTTCCACTGATGGACATTTAGGCTGTTTCTGGGTTTTTGCTATTGTGAATAGTACTGCAATGAACTTGGGTGTACATATATCTATTCATATTGCGGTTCTGATTTACCTAGGATATATACGAAGTAGAGGGAGTGCTGTGATACCCCTAGTTAGAGAATAACCCCCATGGAATGGCCCCTCAGGTTATGTCCTCTCCCAGGTTACACCTGGACAATACCTCCCAGGATTACTCCCAGGTCACCCCCAGATAGTAGTCCTCCCCAGCGCACCCCGGCTTTACTAGGGTACTTCCAAACAACAACACATGGAGTTCTGCACTATTCCCCCAGGATACACCTTATCTCCCCCACTGACCCCTCATTTACACCTTGGCCCTCAAGCCCTTCCTTAATGTACCAGGATAACAAATTTCTTCCTCCACATTATACCCAAATGTTACCTAGATGCTGCCTTCCAGATTATTCCTGATAATTGGACACCCACTCCCCATCACAGGCCACATCAGAACAAACACCAATGGTCCCTGCAAGTCCTCCTCTACCTGTTCCCTCAGGTTATACCCAGATGCTGACTCACCGGAGTGCAGATGGCACCTACCATGTCCAAAAGGGAAACCCAGGAAGTACCTGGTGAGACAGCCACCATCACTGCTGCCACTGCCTCCCCAGACTCTAAAGGGGCCCTTCTTAGGTTTGGTTCCCTAGGTGCAACCACACTGCAGCGTCTTGAAGCAGGCAACCCAAGAAGCAGTGTGGGCCATGGTGTAGTCTCCCATGTGGGTCAGAGACAACATAGACATTCCTGTCCCAGAATCTGTCCGCCTTGGCTGCCTTTCCCAGGCATCAACCTTGCTTTCACCAGGCTCACGAGCTATGTGTTCCGGATCTTCGCCCTGGCCTACCCCATCATGACAAGCAGCGTGCTCGACCTGAACTCTCTTTGTGACATTGCCCGCTGGATCATCACCCAGAGGCAGGTGGAGGATGGACACTTCCTGGAAAAGGGCCCTGTGATCATGAAGTCGATGCAGGTATCCACTGCCTCCCTACCTGGGCCAGTTAAGAGAAACCTTGAGTTCTGCACATTAATGGGAAGCTCCCAGAACCCTGGCAGCTCAGGTAGCATGTGAGCAGAAAGGAGCTGACATTCAATGTCTGGGATCACATCCCTCGCTCAGGACCACCCTGTGCTCCAGAAAACCTGGGACCTCCATCTCTCCTTCACCCCTATATGAATTAGTCTCCAAACCTGGCCTTCTTCCCTCTGGACCTGAGTCCTTCCAACCCTACCAAGTGAGCACTGCTCCATAGCAACCTCCAGAAACCCAAACACCTTCTGTGAGTCACAGTTGCCTACTGTCATCTCCCATCTGCTACATCCCCTCTCCTCTGTATCTTCCAAGTCTTACTCTCTTTATTTTCTGCTTCACACTTAATTGCTTGGGGGGTGGGGTGGGGATGCCAGGGGGGCAGGCAGTGCTGAACCTCACCTCCATGTCTTTGCATTTGTTTCCCCCTCTGCCTAGAATTTCCTTACCCTAGCCCTTTCTATCCCCCTGTATCCGGTCAAATTGTGCTTTCTCTTGCAATTGAGCTCAGACACCACCTTGTCCAGGAAGCCTGCCTTGAATACCAGCTCTGTTCCTGCCTCTAACATTGCACCTATCACAATATTCTTTCATCCATCTACCTATCCATTCACTCAACAAACATTTATTCACCAATTGCTGTAGATCAGACCTTGTGCTAGATAGGGAGAGATAGCAATACGCAAGGCAATTGCAGCTCCTGCCCATGTGGAGGGTACAAGCTTGTGAGGAAGAGATAGAAGTTCCCCTGAATAATTACAGACAGTAACTGTTTATAGTAAAGTGTTGAAGAGCAAAGAGGTCAGCTTGAGGACTAAGGTGTGCCTGACCCAAGCTATGGTATTTTCAATAACCTCATATGCATGCGAAAGCTGGACAGTGAATAAGGAAGACCATAGAAAGAACTGATGCTTTTGAGTTATGGTGTTGGAGGAGAATATTGAAAATATCATGAGCTGCCAAAAGAACAAACAGATCTGTGTTGGCAGAAGTGCAGACAGAGTGCTCCTTGGAGGCCAGGATGGCCAAACTTCGTCTCTCATACTTTGGACATATTGTCAGGAGGGACCAGTCACTGGAGAAGGATATCAGGTTTGGTAAGGTGGAGGATCAGAGAAAAAGAGGAAGACCCCCAATGAGATGGATTGGCCAAGTGGCAGCATCAATGGGCTCAAGTGTGACAACAGTAGTGAGGTTGGCCCAGGATTGGGCAGTGTTTCGTTCTGCTGTGCATAAGGTCGCTATGAGTTGGTACCAACTCGATGGCAGCTAACAACAACAATTGTTTAAATCACAACTGTGCTAAATTCCATGAGAGAGAAACATAGAAGACCAGGGGAGATTATTTATCAAGGGGGAATGCCTGGCTTTAGGGTGTCAGGACACATCTCCAAAAAGCATAACAAACAGTGGTGTTCAGGGAAGGAGGCGCATTGGTGGTGCAGCGGGTTAAGTGTTGGACGGATAATGGCAAGGTCTAGTTTTAAATCCACACGCTGCTCTGTGGGTGGGAGATGTGGCAGTCTGCTTCTGTAACGATTTCAGCCTTGAAAGTCCTATGGAGCCGTTCTACTCTGTCCTATAGGGTTGCTATGAATGGGAATTGACTAGATGGCAGTGGGTTTTGAGTTTGGGTTCAAGGAATATTTCCTGGAAGAGGTTAAAAATGTGGCATATTTAAAGTGTTATGGGGAAAAAGACATAGGGGAAAACGGATCAAAGTAATAAGAGTGTAATTTTGGAAGGTTTCATGAGGAAGTAATATTTGTGCCAAGACCTGAGGATATGAAGGAACAAGTTATGTGGGTATCGGGAAAGAGTGTTGCAAGAAGAGAACAGTGTGTGCAAAGGTCCTGAGGCAGGGCCACATGTGACATGACTGAGGGATAGCAAGGAAACTTGTGCATCTGGAGTGGAGCAAATGGGAGTGAGAGGAGATGATGACAGGGAGAGAGCAGGCACATGTTGTGTAAGACTTTGTAGTTTTAGCTTTTGGTTTTTGGAATGGAGTGGAAGGGATGTGGCCTGACTCACACATGCCTGGGCTCCATCGGCCACTGTGAAAGGAAGAGACTGCAGAGGGTGAGGTTAGAAGCTGGGTTTGAACCCTGAGTCAGTCATTTACTAGCGATCAGAGACGTTGCTTCTCTGATCCTCAGTTTCCTCATCAGTAAAATTGGGCTGCCGCAATGATGCGCTGAAGCAGTGTAGAGAGCTTAGCACAGCATCATCCAGCCTGTTCATTTTGGGCCAGTTTGGGTGGAACTCACCAGGCAAACTCCACAATAGCATCTCCTCTCTCTACCATCCCACTTCCTGCATCCTCCAGCTTCTAGCTAGGCACCTGGGAATTTTTCAAGGTCAGGCAGGAAAGGTTGGGGAAGGTGTCCCCAACACTGAGGGGAACATGGGTGTGGGTCTGTCTCCACAGGGTGGCTACCGAGGCTCCGAGGCTGACATATCCCTCACAGCACTTGTCCTGATCGCCTTGAATAAGGGGAAGGAGCTGTGCAGCCAAAAAGTACCGGTAGGGTCCCAAAGAGGGGCCAGGATTTTCAGGGTGCCTGACCTACTGGTGGAGGAAGCCACTCCAACCTCCCTTCCTCTGAATGGATCCCTCTCTTCTGGCTCCCAGACTCCTTTCCTTTGATCACTTCCCTCTGGCCTCCTCTCTCTGACCTCCTAGAACTTGATCACCAGCATCGAGAAAGCCCGTAGCTTCCTGGAGAGACAGCTTTCTGACATTAAGACAGCCTTTGCCATGGCCACAGTCTCCTATGCACTGGCCCTCAGCAATAGCCCCCAAGCCAATGACCGCCTTGACATCTTTGCCAGCTATGGTGAGTGTGAGACACTTCTTAACAAACTGTGTTAATTGCAGTCACAGAGTGGGAAGAGGAAGACTTGTAGCCAGGATGATTCCATGGTAAAATTGTTGCCTTCCGTGTAGGAGACCCAGGTTTGATTTCTTATCAAACTCAGTTACCACCCATTTATAGCCAGAGGTGTGCACATTACTGTGATGCACAGGTTTCAGTGGAACTTGCAGACTAAGACAGACTAGGAAGAAAGATCTCACGATCTACTTCTGGAGAGAAAAAAACAGGTTATGAGAACTCTAAGGATTACAATAGTTCAATTCCTTCCTGCATGGTGTTGTCGTGAGTCAGAGGCCAACTTGGTGCCAGCTAACAATAGCAACATTGTATGCCAACCATTGTATGCTCAGACCCAGACACACTAAGCTCAACAAGATAAATATAGTCCCTGTCCTCAAGGGTCCCTAGTTCCTGGAGGAGGCAGGCAGAAAACAAATTAATACAATTTATAATAGCAAATTGTTGTTGTTAAGTGCTGTTGAGTCAATTCCAACCCATAGCCACCCTGTATAGGGTTTCCAAGGAGCAGCTAGTGAACTTGAACCACCGACCTTGCAGTTCAAACAGCTTTGCAGTCTGGCACATTAACACACAGTGCCACACCAGGAATCCATATTTTTATGCAAAAACATGCATGTTATATGTTGGGTTTTTTTTTTACAACACCCTACTAAGTTCGTTTCTCATGTGCAATATGCATACTATTTGTGGAAAATACGTTAAGTAAGGATGACAAACAAAGTACATGGTAGAGGGGAGGGAAATAAGGTTTGGGAGGATCGGAAAGACCTTGTGAGAAGAGGATCCTTCAGCTGGAATGAATAATGGAGAGACTCACCTATGTGAAAGGCCAAGGGCATTCCAAACAAAGGAAACAGCATGTCCAAACACCCTGAAGTAAAGACTTGATTGTGGGGCCAAGTATGGACAACGGTCATAGAAGGTGGGGAACTGAGAGCACTCTGTCTGCGATGGTCTGCACTTTTCAATGGTCCTCTCTGTTCCTCAAGTCAAGAGGATTGGGTTCAGGAAATTTCACTTGTGGTGAGACTGTACATTCTAGGAATACAGCCCTGAGCAAGACCAAACGAGTCCAGGTCCTCATGTAAAGAAGGACCTGAAAGAGCTTCTTTGAACCTCAGCTTCCGCATCTCTGAGTAGTTTGAGTTCCTTTTTCCTAAGGTTGTTCTGAAAATGCAATACCCATATCCCTCCTCAGGAGAGGTCTTCAATAAAATGTCAGATGAAAGCAATTAGGCCAGGCAAGACAAGGAGTAGACAGATTAAGGTGGTTGAGGCCAGCTCTAGGTGACAAGACGAATATCTCTCTTTTAGACAAAACCCATTGGCCAGAGAAAGAGAAGGACTGGTTCTCCCTGTACACCATTGAGGCCACTGCCTATGCACTGCAGCAAAAGCTGGAGCTCGGTCGGATCAATGAGACGCATGCCATAGCCAAGTGGCTACTGGAGAAGCGGGAGATGGGAGGGGGCTTCAAGTCCACGCAGGTAACGCGGGCCTCAGGAGATGGGGCGGCTGTGGGGCCACGGGGAGGGGAGTGAAAAGTAAGGAGGGGAAGGGGGGGAAGAGGGCGGGCCGCTAGCCAAGGTACTGAGCCAACCTCCACTCCCGGATGAACTCTCCGAAGTGCTGACGCTAAGACCCGCGGGTGCCTGGGGTGCTGTCTATGGTACTGATCCACGGCCCCTATCCCAACACCCAGACAACGGTAGTGGCTCTCGAGGCCCTGACTCGCTTCCGTGAAGTTGTCCCCTTTGAGGACGTCCAGGATCTCCGCATCCAGATCAGCACCCCTAAGAGAGCTAGGGACGTGAAATGGCTCATTGACCAGAATAACGCCTATGAGCAGCGGTCAGCAAAGGTACCACTTTGAGGGGGTAAAGTTAAGTTTCATGTCTCTGCCCTCTCTTTCTTCAAGATTCTTTCATAACTTTTGAAAATTTGGCTATACTGTCAGTGCATTGATTCATTTTTCCATAAATATTTCCTGAGCACCTTCTGGGTGCCAAGCAGTTCTCTAGGCACAGGATAGGTTGTTAAAGACCCTGGTCCCTGCCCTCATGGGGCTTACACTCTAGAAACAGAAGACATTTAAAATATGCCATTCGAAGCATTCTGAACAGAAGGAAAGACAAATGGGAGTGTACTGGGTGGCAAATGGTCAATATACTCTCCAGAGAAAGACTTGGCAATCTACTTCCAAAACCTCAGCTATTGAAAACTCTTTGGAGAACAGCTTTACGGGGTCACCATCAGTCAGAACCAACTCAACAACAATTAGGTTTTTTGTTTGTTTTTAAGGGGGAAATAACCTGGTAGCGTAGTGGTTACGAATTGGGCTGCGAACCTTAAGGTCAGCGGTTCGAAACTACCAGCTGCTCCGCGGGAGAAAGATGAGGCTTTCTACTCCCGTAAAGATTTACACCCTTGGAAACCCTGTACAGGGTCGCTATGGGTCGGAACCGACTCGAAGGCACTTAACAACAAAACAACAACAACCTGGTAGGAGGTTAAGGAAATATTCATGCGGGGTGGCATTTAAGCTTCAATTATTCGACACATGTGTACTGAGCACTGTTGTACATTCTAGGAATACAGCCCTGAGCAAGACCAAACAAGTTCAGGTCCTCATGTAAAGAGTCACACCTTGGAAACCTATGGAGCAGGTGACCCTATTCTGCCCTATAGGGTCACCATGCATCAAAACCGACTCAAAGACAGTGGCTAGAAGCTTATATTTTAGTGGACAAGACAGACAATAATGAATAAGTAGAATATGTAATGTGTTATATGGTGGCAAGTTCTACAATGGGGGAGATTAAGCAAGAAGGGATGGTATGTCAAGGGGTTGGAATTTTAGATAGAATGAGCAGGGAAGATCTTGCCCAGAAGTCAACATTTGGACAAAGACCTTAAGGAGAGGAGGCAGAGAGCCTTATATGCAGTGTATCCAGGCAGAGGACATGGCAGTGAAAGGTCTTGAGGCAAGAATTTTCCAAGAACAGTAAGGAAACTGGTGTGGCTGGAGGAAAATAAGTGAGGTGAGAATGGGGAGAAGTGAGGGCAGGGAGATGATGATGAAGACAGGGCATGACCTTGTGGGTCTCAGGAGGGATGGGACTCCAGCTTTCACCCTGAGAGGTGAGAGCCATAGAGGGCTCTCAGCAGAAGCAGGACCTTGTCTCACTTACACCATATTTGCATTCCATAATTGCAATAGAATTTTGGTCCATACAGCATGGCACTAGGCAGTAGGCACTATTTTTCTATGCCATATATTTCTTAGCTGGTACTATTCTTGACCTCATCTTATAGATGGGGAAATGGAGGAACTGAGGAGTAAAATGACTTGTCCAAGGTCACACATGTGTTCAGTTGAGGTTAAGTAGGAATCCTAGATAAATAGGAAGTTACTGAGATGAAGGCGCAGGAATGTGGAAGAGCATTCCCAACTGGCATAGGGAAAAGCATGGAGAGGAGACTCTGAGGCAGACATAGGAATGACTGGAGAGGAGAGTGCTCAGGGGACAGGAGGCTGGAGAGGTTGGCAGGACTCAGAGCTTGATATGGACTCAGGACTTTATCCAATGGAAAATGGGGCTGAAACAGGGGTGTGACTGCATGTGAATTTTTAAAATGTGTTTTAGCTGATGTGAGAAAAGTTAAATGGGGGAAAACAAAGATTAGAGGCAGAGATGCCAGTGAGAAGAGTCTCAGGCAGGGTCCACAGGAATAGTTTTAGAGATACTGCAAAGTACACAGAGTGAAAATATATACATTAAGACATGACGTCCCTAGGTGATACAAATGGTTAATAAGTTCCACTGCTAACAGAAAGGTTGATGGTTCAAGTCCACCCAGAGGCAACTTGAAAGCAAGTCGTGATGATCTATCTCTGAGAAATCAGTCATTGAAAATCCTGTGGAGTGTTGTGTCAGAGTAGACCTATATTTTGTTGGGTTTTTAAATTCCCTCCCCCTCTCCCACAGTTCTCAGCCCAGGACGACCTAGAGATCAAAGCCAGTGGCACTGGACGAGGCACCATCTCGGTAGGTCTGGGTCCCATCCTCGGGATCCTTAACTGGGGTTCAGGGCCTCCTAGTTAGTGGGTATAGGGGTAAGTCCCTGACTCTAAGACAAAATTAAAACCAGCAGTAATTGTACTTGCAATTTAGGGCACTACTGTTTGCTAGGAACCAGGCTAAGAAAATATCATAACCACCCAGGAAGTAGGTTCGGGATTAGACTCAATTCCCAAATGGTGCAAACCATTCAAAGATGGGAAATGGAGGGTTAGAGAAGTTTTCAGTTGTTTTAAGTCATACTCAGAGAAGGTTGAGGCCAGATGTTTCTGGACCCATCTGCCCCTTCTATGGGATTCTGGTGGTGCAAACAATGTACTCAGCTGCTAACCCAAAGGATGGCAGACATGCCTCAGAAGAGAGGCCTGGTGATTTATGTCAGAAAAATCCACTACTGAAAACCTATGGAACACACTTGTACCCTGACACACATGGTGTCTCTATGATATAGGGCTAGCTTGATAGCAACTGGTTTGGTTCTTCAATTTGCCTCACCTATGCTGAGTCCCGAAGGCATATCTCATTCTTTGCTTACCCAAAGGGAGATTCTCCCTACAGGTTACCACCCATGGCCCAGAGGATATCTTGACCCTGCTCCCCAAATCTGAGCCAGTATCCCACTTCATTGTTTAGCCTCAGGCCTTCTGGTTCATGAGGAAAGCCTGCTTTTTAACCAACTTGGAGGCAGCCTATTGTCATGGTTCCAGATATGTAGTCGCCATTGAAAATCAGACTTTTTATGTGACCTTAAGCAAGTCAAACCCCCCTCGTTAAGCCTCAGTGGCATTGACACTGAAATAAAGCTCAACATCCAGTTTCTCAGTCACACTAGCCACATATGAATTGCTCGGTAACCACACATGGCTTGTGGTACCATTGTTTTTGTTGTTAAGTGCAATCAGGTTGGTTCCAACTCATAGCGACCCTGTATACGGTTTCTGAGGAGTCTGCTCTGACTCATAGTGACCTTATGTACAACAGAACAAAGCACTGCCTGACCCTTGAGGCCATTGCTGCTGCCACTGTGCCAATCCATCGCATTGGGGAGCATCCTTTTTTTCGCTGATCCATCCTTTATCAAGCATGATGTCTTTCTCCAGGGGCTGGTCCCTCTTGGCTTTTAAGGAGCATTATGACTGCACTTCCTCCAACACAGATTTGTTTGTTCTTCTGGCAGTCTGCAGTACTTTCAATATTCTTTGTCAACACCATAACTCAAATACACCAATTATTCTATGGTTTTCCTTATTCATTGTCCAACTTCTAAATGCATATGAGGCTATTGAAAACACCATGGCTTGGGTCAGGCTCACCTTAGTCCTTAAACTGACATCTTTACTCTTGAACACTTTTAAAAAGGTCTTGTGCTGCTGATCTGCCTAATGCAATATGTGATTTGAATTCTTGACTGCTGTTTCCACGTGTGTTAATAGTGGATCCGAGCAAAATTAAGTCTTTGACAACTTCAATCTTTTCTCCATTTATATGGATGTTATTTATTGGTCCAGTGGTGAGGACTTTTGTTTTCTTTACATTGACGTGAATCCCATTCAGGCTGTGGTCTTTGATCTTCATCAGTATTTGAAGTCCTCTTCACTTTTAGCAAGCAGGGTTGTATCATCTGCATACCACAGGTTGTTAAAGAGTCTTCCTCCTATCCTGATACCATGCTCTTTTTCATATAATCCAGTTTCTTGGATGTGCTCAACATACAGATTGAATAAGTATGGTGAAAGAATAAAACTTTGGTGCACACCTTTCCTAATTTTAAACCATACGGTTTTCCCTTGTTCTGTTCGAACAACTGCCTCAATCTATGTAGACATTCTTCATAAGCACAATTAAGTGTTCTGGAATACCCATTCTTCACATTGTTATCCATAGCTTGTCATGATCCACACAGTGGAAAGCCTTTGCATAGTCAATAAAGCACAGGTAAATATCTTTCTAGTATCTTCTTTCAGTCAAGATCCATCTGACATCAGCAATGGTATCCCTAAGTCAAATCCTCTTCTGAATCCAGCTTGCATTTCTGACAGTTCCTGTCAATGTACTGTTGCAGCTGCTTT